GGGGTGTATCCCGCACCGTTCAGGTATGGCAGTATTTGTTCATTTTTCCTGTTTTTGACTCTGTTCTCATTGCTGAGTTTTGTTGTGCAGGTACTCACTAGCAGTCTCCATCTAAAGAAGTCTGTCGTGGCGCAGGAGAAGCGGATACAAGATGTATCCAAAGCCAACGCTGGTTTGCGGCAGAAGGAGGCAGCATCCCGGAAGGCTGAGCAGGAGAGTCAGCAGCGCCTCAGGGATAATGAGGCCAAGGTCAAGAGATTACGGCACGAGTTAGCCGAGAGGACCGCGGAGGTTGAGTCCCTCAGGGAGCAGTGCATCTCCATTGCTGATGACGCCATCATTAAGGCCCGAGGCGAGCTCATGCTGGAGTTCAAGGAAGGGCGGACCTCTCATTGGGATCCAGATGAAGACATTCTGCTCATGCAGGAGTTGTTGGAAGAAGGAACTGGTCATCCGGTGGGACACGAGGAGCAGGCGCCTGACCTTAGTCAGCTGGGTGTTGGGGACGTGAGCGACCAGGCTGCGGGGTTGAGCACTAGTGGTGCGGGCATGGTGACTGATTTGGTGATGGAGGATGAGGCTCGTGCTGAGGATGCTTAGCGCTCTCTTTTGTTTGTATTTTGGGGCCTGCGATGCCCTTTTGTCTGGCGTCTGTGCCCTTTTTTGTATTCTGAACTGGGGCGCTTGATGCCATATATATTACCTTTGACTGTTCTGGTTTCTAGTGTTGTCTCCTTGGATGAATGAACTGTTCTTCTATTTCTCTTCTTGTAGGTGTTATGTTTGTGCATGTTACCTCAGCGTGGCCCAATGGCTTTGGCATGTAGGCCTTATGTTGGGCTGGGTTGGTGCTTTGCTTGCCAATGGTGTAGGAATCATTCATTCGGTCTAGTCAACCGAGTGTGTAGTCCCCTGGATGAATGATGTTGCATCTTCAGTTTAATTTTTAGGTCGGATGGAGCCGGTCCCAAGGTGCCAAGTCTTGGATCGGGCAGGGCCGATCTGAAGGTGTCATCGTGAGTCGAGCGGGGTCGATTCGAGGGTGTGAGTAATTCATCGACTGGGTCGACTTGAAGGTGTCTATACGTTTTATTAGGCAGGGCCGATTGAAGGTGTTTGCACGTTTTATCAGGCGGGGCTGATTTAAAGGTGTCCGTAGGTTTATTAGTAGGGCCGATTTGAAGGTGTCCATACGTTCATCGGGCAGGGCCGATTGAAATTGTCCGTACGTTTTATCGGGCAGGGCCGATTTGAAGGTGTCCGTACGTTTTATCGGGCAGGGTCGATTTAAAGGTGTCCGTAGGTTTATCGGGTAGGGCCGATTTGAAGATGTCCGTACGTGCATCAGACAGGGCCGATTTGAAGGTGTCCGTACGTGCATTGGGCAGGGCCGATTTGAAGGTGTCCGTACGTTTATCAGGCAGGGCCGATTTGAAGGTGTAAGCAATTCGTCGACCGGGGTCGATTTGAAGATGAGAACTACTGAATAATACTTCATTAAATATCTGGCCATGAGGCCGACTGTCTAAGAGGAGGTGGATAGGCCCACTCATCCTTTTATTAACAATGAAAAGAAATGAGAAACAAATCCCCAAAAAGGACAAGGTTCACCTAGGAGTAGTAGCGTTTGAGGTGAACAGCATTCCAACTGTTGTTGATGTCTTTGCCCTCGGGGGTCTGGAGTTTGTAGGCGTCTTTCCCTGCTTCTTTGATTATCTTGTAGGGGCCTTCCCAGGTGGGGCCGAGTTTGCCAGAGTTAATTTCCTTGGTGTTTTGGAAGACCCTACGAAGGACCCAGTCGCCTATCTTGAAAGTGCGGATCCTCACGTTGCGGTTATAATGTCGGGCGGCTTGTTGCTGGTAGACTGCATTGCGGATGCTCGCCTGTTCCCGTAGCTCGTCCACAGTGTCTAGGTTCTGGCAAAGGTTTTGACTGTTTGATTTCTCGTCCGCCTATTGGAGCCTGGTGGACGGGACTGATACTTCAGCTGGAATGACTGCTTCAGAACCGTATGTCAGGGAAAAGGGGGTTTCACCAGTTGATGATCGAGCCATGGTTCGGTATGACCAGAGGACTCCGGGTAGCTCGTCTGCCCATGCGCCCTTAGCTTTTTGCAATCGCTTCTTCAATGTCTATATGATAGTCTTGTTTGATGACTCGGCCTGGCCGTTAGACTGGGGGTTACAGGGTGTTGAGAAGCTCAACTTTATTCCCTACATGTCACAGAATCCCTGAAGCCTGAACTAATGAACTGGGATCCATTATCGGTGACAATTTCCTTCTGTATTCCGAACCGACAGATTACATTCTTCCAGATGAAGGCTTTTACCTCTCGATCTCTGATTCGTGCAAAGGCTTCGGCTTCGATCCACTTAGTGAAGTAGTCTGTCACTGCCAGCATGAAGACTCCTTGCCCTGGTGCAGTAGGTAGCTTTCCCACAATGTCCATTCCCCACTTCATGAATGGCCAAGGTGTGAGAATGGAATGTAGTCGTTTTGGTGGGAGGTGTGAGATATGGGCAAACCTTTGACAGCTGTCGCACTTCTTCGCATAAGCGGTCGAATCGGTGCGTATGGTCGGCCAGTAGTATCTAGCGGTGATCACTCAGTGAGCAAGACTGCGCCCCCTGCATGGTTGCCGCATTCACCTTCATGGAGTTCGGCTAAAACACTTTGGGCCTCTTCTGGGCTTATGCATTTGTGATAGGGGCCCGAGAACGACTTTCTGAGGAGTTGGCCCTCATGTAGGGTGAATCTAGCGGCTCTTGCTTTCATTCGGCGTGCTTCGTTCTTGCCAGCCGGGAGCTCATCGTCTGCCAGGTATCTTATTATCGGGGTCATCTAGCAGTCGGCTTGTTCGACGCCCATGGCTTCTACGGGAGACTTGTTCGATGGCGGTTCCTTCCAGTTGGCCGGCCACTGCATGAATAAGAGGGGAATGGACAACTGGGAAGAACATGGGAGTGCCGAGCCGAGGTTGGCGAGGGCGTCGGCATGGTAGTTCTCAGCTCTGGGGATCTGCATGATTGTGAACTCTTCGAATTGGGCCTGCAGCTCTTTGACCATGCTCAAGTATGATGCCATCTTTGAGTCGTGTGCTTGATATGTGCCTTGTAGTTGGTTGACCACGAGTTGGGAATCGGACTTCACTTCCAGCCTTTTTGCTCCCATTTCCCTGGCCAAGGAAAGTCCGGCTAGGAGGGCCTCATATTCAGCTTCGTTATTCGTGTACTTGAACCCACACCAGACTGCTTCGCTGGACTATGTCTCCTTCTGGTGCGATCAGTACTATCCCAAGTCCGCTCCCATTCACATTACTCGATCCGTCCATTAGGAGAGTCCACTTCAAGGGTGGTGCACCGTTCATGCATAGTAGTTCCCTTTCCGCTTGGGTGGTGGTGCTTGAGGTGAAGTCAACAATGAAGTCCGCTAGTGCTTGGGACTTGACAGCGGTCCGTGGTTGGTAGGATACGTCGAACTCGCTGAGCTCTATCACCCATTGCATGAGTCGGCCTGATAGTTCTAGTTTGTGCAATATTTTCTTAAGTGAGAAGGAGGTGATCACAACTATAGGGTGGCACTGGAAATACGGTCTGAGCTTCCTGGATGCATGGATGAGGGTGAGGGCAAGCTTTTCCAGTTGGCTGTACCGAGTTTCTGCGTTGAGGAGCGACTTGCTAATGTAGTAGACCGGTGACTGCTTTGTTTCTTCTTCCCGAACTAGCACCGCTGATATGGCTGTCTCTGAGACTGCTAGGTAAGTGTAGAGCTTCTCCCCGTCCATAGGTTTGGAAAGAAGCGGGGGGGTGGTCAAATACCTCTTCAGCTGTTGTAGGGCTTCTTCGCACGAGGGGGTCCAATCGAACTTGTTGGATTTTTTGAGGGCATGGAAGAACAGGTGGCACTTATCAGCTAACCTAGATATAAAGCGGCTCAGGGCGGCCACTCGTCCCGCAAGGCGTTGGATGTCTCTGATGCACGTCGGGGATGGTATGCCAAGGATCGCTCTGATCTGGTCGGGGTTGGCTTCTATCCCTCGCTGAGTGACCATATAGCCCAAGAATTTACCTGATGAGATGCCGAATGAGCATTTGGTTGGGTTCAGCTTCATGTTGTTTTTTCGTAGAATGGCGAACGCTTGGCTGAGGTGGTCGAGGTGTTGTTCGGCAATCAGGGACTTGACGAGCATGTCGTCGATGTAAACTTCCATAGTCTCTCCTAAGTAATTGGAGAACATCTTATTGACCAGTCGTTGGTAAGTGGCCCCGGCGTTCTTGAGTCCAAACAGCATTACTTTGTAGCAGTAGGTCCCTCTCTCTATGATGAAGGCTGTCTTTTTCTGGTCGTCCGGGTGCATCAGGATCTGGTTATATCCAGAGAAGGCGTCCATGAAGCTAAGGAGCTCGTGGCCTGCAGTCGCATCTACCATCATGTCGATGTGTGGGAGCGGGAAAGAGTCCTTGGGGCAGGCCTTGTTCAAGTCAGTGAAGTCAATGTAGACTCCCCATTTCCCATTCTTTTTCTTTACTACCACGACATTCGCCAGCCAGTCGGGGTAGTGGACTTCTCTTATCATGCCATTGCTTAAGAGAGTGTCAATCCCTTCGTTGACGATTCGGTTCCGTTCTGGCACAAACTTCCTTCTCCTCTGCTTTACTGGTGGGTGACTCGGATTTACCTGTAGTTGATGGACCATTGCTTCCAGACTGATTCCGGTCATGTCGGCGTGGGACCAGGCGAAGTAGTCTTGGTTTTGTCTAAGGAACTCTATCAGTTTCTCTCTTGTCTCGGGCTCGAGGCGGGAACCTAAGTGGGTCTTTCTCTCGGGGTTGTCTGGGTGTATCTGTACTTCATCCAACTCCTCTATTGAGGGTTGATCTGGCCCGGTTGGAGGGGTTAGATGAGCCTGTAATTGCTATGAGGAGTTGCCCTTGCTCTTGAAGGTGTTCTTGTAACAGTCTCTGGAAGCTTTGGGGTCGCCCTTGATCTCTCGCACCCCTCACTTGGTTGGAAACCTGATCGTCTGGTGGAAAGTAGATGGGACTGCCCGCATGTCGTAGATCCAGGGCCGCCCCAAGATGGCATTGTAGGGGGATGGGCAGTCGATCACCAAGAAGATTGTCTGTTTATTTACTCCGCCGGCATAGATAGGAAGGATGATCTCCCCGATAGTGTATTTCTGCTCCGAGCTGAATCCAACCAGCAATGTCGGTCGTCTGTTGATATTTGCTTCTTCCAGCCCCATTACTTTTACTGCTTCGAGGAATAGGATATTTGCTGACGAACCTCCATCTACGAACACCCTTTTCACTAGGATGTTGGCTATTTGCAGGGAGAGGACTAAAGCATCGTGGTGAGGAGCGGCCAGGGTGACCGGTTCGTCATCTTCGAACTGAATTACTTGATGAGAGTATGACCTCGAGACCGGATGGATGGACTGGACTTCATGGTGGTTGTTGGCTCTCGCGTACCGCTTGGCCGATGAGTAACTCACCCCACTGATTTCTGATCCTCCAGAGATGAGCGAGCAGAAACCCTTCGGTGTGGGTTCTCGCTGAGGGGGTGACGGTTCTTTGGAGCCCTTCTGGCTAATGGTGTTCTTCCCCTTGTCAGTGAGTAGATCACGGAGATGTCCCCTCTTCAGAAGTGCGGCAACCTCGAGCCTCAAGGCCATACAGTCTGTGGTGTTATGGCTGTGATCGTCGTGGAACTCGCACCACTTGGTTGTGTCTCTCCTTGCTTCGGGATTGAGCTTACCAGGCCACTTGACGGCAGACCCCATTCCTTTCATTATCGCTACGACCTGGGTTGGTTCGACGTTGAGGTTGTACTCTGGTATTTTGTGCTGGCTCGATCCGAAATGCCTGTTATCATTTCTCGCGGGTTGGCGATCATAAGGTTTTCTGGTTCTGCCCATATTGCTTTCTTGAGGTTTGTAGCGGTGTTCTATTGGTCTAGGCTCTGGCTTCCTGTCGCTCCGCCTTGGTTCATATCTGGAATGGGCGGCTTGGTTCATCTCATCTTCCTCCCATCTTATCTGGATAACGGCTTGGGCTAGAGCATCTTCCATTGTGGTGCAACCCAGCTTTGTAAGTTCTTTGTATAGTTCTCCATCCAAGAGGAGGCCTTTTCTGAAAGCGTCCACAGCAGTCTCGGGGTTACATAAGGGAATAGAGATCTTCTCTTTGTTGAATCTGCTAACATACTCTCTTAATGGCTCTCCCCTTCGCTGGTATATTCGGTACAAGTCGGCCGACAACTTCTCTAGCTTCTTGCTGCTGGCGAACTGTTCCACAAAGGTGTCGGCAAGCTGAGCAAATGAATCGATGGATCCGTTCGGGAGGTTCGTGTACCATTGGAGCGCCGGGCCGAACAAACTAGAACTGAAACTTTTGCACATGCAGGCCTCTCTAATCTGTCGGGGTATGGAGACAGTGAACATTCGCTGCTTGTACGAGGCTATGTGGTCATCCGGGTTGGTGGTACCGTCATATGTTTTCATGTTGGGGATGGTGAATTTCTAGGGCATGTCAACTAGGGCGATCTCATCCACAAAGGGTGAATCGGCGTAACAATTTGGTCTGCTCTTCTTGGTTGGGATTGGCATTCCTGGAATACGTCTCTTTACTGCCTCAACGTCGGCCAGTCTCTTGGCCAATAATTGTTCCATAGGGGAAGGGGTTACTGTCTGGTCATCCCGTCTTACCGGGTCTGGTACATTTCGTTGGGTCATCCCTCGGGGGGTAGTCTGATAAATCATTCCGTCTTGCGCTCTTTGGTAGCATGGGTCTTCGTTCATCCCTTCTGGTTGGATGACTCCCATTGTCACTGTTCTATTGTTCTTCCCTACATAAATGGTCAGGGGAGTCGTTTGGTCCGTCAGGATGGATGGGCTCAAGTGCTGGAGTTGGTTTGGTTTGGCCGTTCAACCCGCGAGGGTGAGCCGAGCCGGATGGGGTTTGTGTTTGGGTTAACTGGAGGTGAAGTGGGATGGTGGGGATGGATTGATCCTGCGCATGCGGGCTCTCTGTTGCTGGATTGTTTTGATCATGAGGCTGGGGTGGGTCGACTGGACAACGCGCCGTTGGCATATCTTTATCTCCGTTAGTCAGGACGGAGTAGTCTAGCGCCAGTGCGTTTAACTGACGCGGCCCTTTGCCAGAATCCGAGGGCCGATGCTCTGGTGTGGAGAGAGGTTGCCTGGATGGGATAGTGGTGCGGAACCGGTTGGGGGGTGCTTGGTCGGGCAGAAACTCGAGATCGTAGAATCGACTTACTTTCTCCTTCAGCAACTGGTTCTCGACCCTGATGGAGGTGTTTTCGGCTTCCAGCGCGGCCACCTTGTCCAAGTTTTGTTGCATGAGAGCAGTCAAAGCCTCCAGTCTGCCTCGAGGCCGAAGTTAACGTTGTCAGGATTGTCAGCCATGGAATATTCCTCCACGTAGCAAGGTTCGTCAAGCCGAATGATTGCCAGAGTCCCTACGGTGGGCGCCAAACTGTAGACGTAAAAATCTACCTGTACGGAAGGGGGGTCTAATCCCGTGAGGTTGAGGCCACTAGCGATCTGCTGTACCTGCACACGTAGAGAAACACACGTGAAGCGAACGGGAAACACCGGGGTGGTGTTTGCCGTAGGCACTCCGACGCTCAAGTCAGCTAGGTTGAAAGGCTAATATGGTGAGGGCTAGGGAGTGAGAAATTACCGGAAGTCTAGTCGGGGACTGTGACTACGGCGGTGAAGCGAAGCTCTCAAGTAAGAGCTTAGGGTGTGAAGGTGTAATGTCGATGTCCTTTGTGAGAGGGCTGGCCTCTGCTTATATAATCACTGTCTGGTCTCCCAATCCTGGTAGAAATAGGAGACCTAGTATGACTCTAATGTAAACCCTAGAAGAATTAGGGCCGTGGTGAGCTGTCTTACCAGTGTCTAAATAGGAAGTTGATTCTGATTAGGATGGACTTGGGAAATGGGCTGGGATTAGGAGGCTCGTACCCATGTGGTCTGGGCCGGTTACACATTGTACCGAATGGGCCTAACCCGGTAGGGTCATATCGGGATTGGGCTTGACTTCTTCTTCAGCGTCGCGCCCATTTTCTTATTTGGGCCAAGGACGACTTTTGGCCCTAACAATAGGTATATATTTATTATAATTCAATAGTTTAGAAGTCGAATAGTTGCATGAAAAATAAAAAATAAAAAATATAGTTATACATTTATTTTAATTTAATAGTTTAGAAGTCGAAGAGTTTGACATTTTCTTTTTCTTCTTAGTCTATATTAACCACTCCTAAACTTTCTAAAAATTAATTAAAATGACCCTTAATGATTTGTGGTTATGACTTATGAGCGAATTTTGATTTTCCATAAGATTTTTTTAGATTTCGTTTTCAACATTAAAATTTGATGTCAAATTTGAGTCCAACCTATAGGTGTTAACTCCAAATTCTTTGTCTTAGAGTGAGGGATGATTTTGACAAATTTCATTAAGAAGTTTGGGGGTGAATGGTAGCCAGAGTTGATATCCACTTAACAGTTTTGAAACTTTTTGGGTGTTTAGTGAGTTTTTTTCACAAATAATTACTAATTTAGCTTTTCCTTCCCCGTCAATGAATTGTAAAAAATTACAAGAAATTTTTTTAAGTAATCATTTAAATACTTCAAAAAACAAAGATATCAATGTTTTAGTTAAAATACAAAACAATAATAAAATTATGTGAATTAACTTTATTACCCTTAATAAAAAAATATTAACAAATAAAAAAAGTTTAAATATGTTTCACTTTCTTGTACAGTTTTAAGGCAGTGAGATTGTTATTTATGGAAATACCTCATAAATGATTGTGTCATTATTTTGAGCAATGTTAGACCATATAAATAAATTTTACAATTTTTTTATACAAATGATATGACAAAAAATGACCGAAGAATGAATATAATGAGTTTGACTTTTTATATTTACTCTATACCATTAACAAAAAAAAAATCAGAATGAAGTTAGACGTTAGTTCATTAAAATAACTAATCAACAAAATTATGTGTCATATACAAATTATTTTTCCTACTATTTCCATAACATATAAATGATGATTATGTGTAAACAAAAAAAAAAAAAAAATTATGTCATGTGAATAAATACACATTTGTCATCTCCTACACAAAATTCTATGCTTATCATTTTACCTTATTAAATCTAATTTTACTATTTCAATTGCCAAATTGCTTCTAAGTTCTATCTCTATCACTCTTATATAAGATTATAGAAAAGTTAAAGTATAGAACCCTAAAAAATATGATATGACAACAAAATTCTTTCTATAATTTTTGAAATAACAAAAATTGCTTTAAAATAACAAAAATTGCTTTAAAATTAATAAATCGTTAGTGAATCATTAAAATTTATATTGTTATGAGTTAGTAAATATTACTAAATTACCCTCAAACCATTTATTCTAATATTTAAATCTTAATAGCGAGGAAATTTATAATATTTTCAAAACATGAGAGAGATCTTTATAATTAATCATACCTTGGAAGAATTAATATTAATAACTTATTAAAAAAATGGTTAATGTTATACACAGCCTCGAAAACTCTAAAAAAATTGGCCTTATACGTTTATGAAGCCGCAGCAGACGGATGGCTGAATGATATCTCCTTCTAGAGAAGTGAGGACAAGTCCTAATCTATTGTCATTGACATTACTTGAGCCATTTACTAAAAGAGTCAACTTAGAGGACGCACTAGTAGCTCCCTCTTTGCTTGAATAGAAGTGTTCGATGTAAAGTCGACGATAAAATAAGCTAACACCTAAGATTTGATGGCCGTGCGTGGTTGGAATGAGACATCGAATTCACTCAGCTCAACCGTCCATTGAGTAAGTCAGCCGGAGAGCTCTGGTTTGTGTAGAATCTTCTTCAATAGGAAAGTGGTGAGGACCAAATGTTGGTATATTGAATCGATTGTAACGCAGCTGAATTAAAAAAAAATTTCGATTCATAAACCAAAACCCTGTAATCTTTATATTGATTTGCATTGTTTTAAACATGAAACAATTAACAAAAGTATTAATTCGATTTCATACCAGTGTTTGGAGGCTCCTTCACTTGATTTTTCCAGATTTGCTTTCACTCCAAGAATAAGAATGCACGAATGGTATCCACACAAAAACAGGATGATATATCAATTGATTAATTTGCTAGAATAATCAATTGACTTTTAGAATAAAAAGGGCAGAATTTTTCAATTGAAAAATTCACTCTCTCAAGGGTGAATGCTTTTTTGAGAGAAATGTTGGCTAGGGTTTTCAATATTATAAAATTGTTATATTTTTTATTTTAAGTTACACTTATATAGTGCAACAAAATAAACCTTATTCCATATTAGGAATGAAATTAATCCCACTCCTTTCTTAGAATGGAATTACCTCACAACCAAACAAGATAAATATGGTATTTTAATTATTATTATTATTATCATCCATAAATACTAATATATTCTATATATATATATTTATTTATTTATATATGCACATTTATTTAAATATGTAATCTCACTAATTTTAATTTCCATATGAAATTAAATATAAGCAACAACCTTAGCAAATTTTATTGCACTGTGAAATTACCAAAATACTCTTTCATCTTAAAAGATGAAAATACCCCTCTCACTTATTAATTCTTAATATGTCTTCTATGTGTGTGACCCGTAGACTTCTCATCATATTGGTAGTGAATAGTATCGTGATTAACACTCAATTAATCGTCTCACTAAACACAAACCAAAAGTAGCCTCTA